TCCACTCAGGGAACTTTGTTCAGCTCTTCTAAAAACCGTCATTAAATAAGAGCAAGAAACTCTCACTGAGTTGATCCACAACGTCCAGAAACGTTTCAGCAGACAGGAAACAGACCTCAGATCCCAACCACTACGTATTAGTAAAGGTTTGATTTTCATACACAGGAGATGTTCCTGCATTTAAGGGGCAGTTTGATGTTGAAGCAACATTTTTATTTTTTGCCCTCATCAGAATCAAACCTGTTGCTTGGATTCTTTGTTTGAGAAATCCTTTAGTCTCCATAGCAACCATTCAGTTGTTAAAACACCTGGATGGACCTAGCCCCGCCTTCGAGGCACAGCTCCTCCCCCTCTCAGCTCCTCCAGACTAGCCAGCAGCAATTAGCAAACAGCTGGTAGTAAGAGGAGCCTATAGATAGATAGATAGATAGATAGATAGATGGATAGATGGATAGATAGATAGATAGATAGATAGATAGATAGATAGATAGATAGATAGATAGATGGATAGATGGATAGATAGATAGATAGATAGATAGATAGATAGATAGATAGATAGATAGATAGATGGATAGATAGATAGATAGATAGATAGATGGATAGATGGATAGATAGATAAGAACCAGCCACGGTGGGTGAGAAGGGAATTCTTTTTTTATATATATATGAATTAATTATGCTACAAAATGACACTTTGTGCCTTGAAAACATAAAATCCTTCCCCATTAAGATAAACCATTAATTCATCTGACTGAAGTTTTTTTTCTAATGAAAGTTTCTCCTTGAAATTTTAAAATCTGAAGGCGATTTATTCAACGTTCAGAATCAGATGACATGCTCAAGTTTACGTCAGTTAATTATTCAGGAAGTTAAAGCATTAGATAAACTTTGAGAGATAATAAATAAACACCACTCACATTACAAACAACTCAAGTATAATCTATAGTAATCCCATTATAATCCCAGAGAAGACCGAGACAGCTTGATTATTTCCAGAACCGCAGTGTGAAAACACTGCAGCGTCTTAGAAGAGTATTTTTACGTTTTTGTTCTATCACAGCGTTTTGTTGCAGCGTTCTGTTGCAGCGTTTTGTTGCAGCGTTCTGTTGCAGCGTTCTGTTGCAGCGTTCTGTTGCAGCGTTCTGTTGCAGCGTTCTGTTGCAGCGTTCTGTTGCAGCGTTCTGTTGCAGCGTTCTGTTGCAGCGTTCTGTTGCAGCGTTTTCGTTTTGTTGCAGCGTTCTGTTGCAGCGTTCTGTTGCAGCGTTTTGTTGCAGCGTTTTGTTGCAGCGTTCTGTTAGGGTTCAATCGGTTTCCCAGCAGCTCGGTTTTCCTCATTCGCTGAGTTTTCCTGGTTTCTGAATCAGGAAAACTTTCCTCTTGTTTCCGCCTCAGTGAAGGTTTTGAACCGACTGCAGCTCATCATGTTGTGGCTGAAAAACTTTAGTGATGATTATTTTCCAGCCTCTCCTACTTTTATCGCAAAATTTAGTTCTTAAATGATTTCCTGCCATCTCTCTTATGTAATATTTGGTGTTGCTAATGGTACCAAACCCGAGGCACCGGGCTGCCAAAGAACCACAACAAGAACAAACAAAGTCCCTAAAATGTCGAGTCCCAGGTTTTTATTGTAAAAGACACAAAAATATCTGTGGTGCCTTTTAAGTTTTTTATTGACTTTCTGATAAACTAAACATGCAAATTTTTATTTTAGTTTACTGGACTATCATCGAACAAGAAGTTTTATATTAATGAAAATTCCTTCCAAACTCTGGTACCCTTTCTAAATTTAAATATAAAAATATTTTAAAATGCTTTGTTTACGTTGGTAACTGATGCTGCAGAATGTGATGCTGCAGAATATGATGCTGCAGAATGCGATGCTACAGAATGTGATGCTGCAGAATGTGATGTTGCAGAATATGATGCTGCAGAAGCTGATGCTGCAGAATATGATGCTGCAGAAGCTGATGCTGCAGAAGCTGACGCTGCAGAATATGATGCTGTAGAATGTGATGTTGCAGAATGTGATGTTGCAGAATGTTATGCTGCAGAAGCTGATGCTGCAGAATATGATGCTGCAGAATGTGATGTTGCAGAATGTTATGCAGAAGCTGATGCTGCAGAATATGATGCTGCAGAAGCTGATGCTGCAGAAGCTGACGCTGCAGAATATGATGCTGTAGAATGTGATGTTGCAGAATGTGATGCTGCAGAATAAGATGCTGCAGAATGCGATGCTACAGAATGTGATGCTGCAGAATGTGATGTTGCAGAATATGATGCTGCAGAAGCTGATGCTGCAGAATGTGATGTTGCAGAATGTTATGCTGCAGAAGCTGATGCTGCAGAATATGATGCTGCAGAAGCTGATGCTGCAGAAGCTGACGCTGCAGAATATGATGCTGTAGAATGTGATGTTGCAGAATGTGATGCTGCAGAAGCTGATGCTGCAGAATGTGATGCTGCAAAATGTGATGCTGCAGAATGTGATGCTGCAGAATATGATGCTGCAGAATGTGATGCTGCAAAATGTGATGCTGCAGAATGTGATGCTGCAGAATATGATGCTGCAGAATATGATGCTTCAAAATGTGATGCTGCAAAATGTGATGCTGCAGAAGCTGCAGCTTGTTTTGATGCGACATCATCCACTCAGAGAGAAAATGATTGGGATTTGACTGGATGCTCAGAGATCCAAATGAGGATTTCTTTAATCCCGTCTCTTGTCTCTTTCATTTTTTACTTTTTTTTTCTGTTGTCGTTGTCAAATCCTAATTTTAATTTCTTTAGACTTAAATAAAAAACACATTTTCTTTGCTGGTTGCTAACCTGTTAGCATCGCGTGTCGGATGGAAATGTGAAATGATGATCCAGGAATCAACTGCCTGATTTCTGTTTTTATGTTGTACCAAGAACAAACAAAGAGTCAGTTTCCATTGACTGCTGGTGTTTTATCAGAATGACTGGAAACCAGTTCACTACTGGTTTCTGTCTGCTGACTGTGGAATCATTTTGGGTTACATCACTGATATTTTGACTGTGTGTAATTTTTCATCCTGAGATGTCCTGATGTGAAGCATCTGACATGTAAACATGCATCCCAACGGCGGCAACATGTTGCTGCGTTGTTGCATCAACAGATGCGATCTGTTTCCTTCTCCCAGGGATCTCAGACCTCAGCAGTGAAGGTTTTCCTGTTTTCCTCTTCTGCTGATTTTCTGTTGCATCGTTTTCAGTTTTGTCTTCTTCTCTGTCCTCCATACTGCAGACATCTGAGTTCAGCTCTTTGTCATGTTGAGGTTCACTGCAGGAAGTGACACGTCTCCGTGTCACTTCCTGTTCAGACCAGCGGTGTGTATGTGGGTCAGGTTTCCATACATGCATCACTCTGACTGTAGAAACTCAAACTTTGCTGTACGTCACGCTGCAGCTTAATAACTCCTCTTATCATTATTATTATTTTACGATAGTGGCAGAGATCTCAGAGCTCTGGATTTACGTTATATGCTGATCTGTTGAGTCTGGCCTCAGCTGATTGGTGCAGAGGAAGCCGAAGATTCGGTCCTGTGCTCTGATTGGTTCTCACTGCTAAGCTGCTTTTTCATCCACGTCTTTGAGTTATAAACAAAAAAAATCATCTCTTAGCTCCTGAATTTCTTCTCATGTATTTGAAACAGAACCTCAGAGTTTCAGCCGACAAGATTTTAATCTGATTTACTGTCAACATGTTTGATAAAGTTGATCAGTTTAGTCTGACCGGTTATTTGATCTTCCAGATGTTTCGTACGACGGTGATGAATAATGATCAGGATGGAAAGTTCAAATGTGTTTTACTTTACATCCATGACACTCTGAAGTGTGTAAAGTTTTCACTCGGTGTGTTAAGCAGCAGCACGTCAGGCGGTGAGGTTGAACACAGGTCAGAGGTCAGAGGTCAGCCTTTCTTTGTTTTTTTCTGTTTCTATTTCTCTGATCAGACAGAGATTTATTTGTTAGCATAAAGCATAAAGTGTGTGTTTGCATGTCTCTGTGTGTGTGTGTGTGTGTGTGTGTATGTGTGTGTGTGTGTTTGCATGTCTCTGTGTGTGTGTGTGTGTTTGCATGTCTCTCTGTGTGTGTGTGTGTGTGTGTGTGTGTGTTTGCATGTCTCTCTCTCTGTGTGTGTGTGTGTGTGTGTGTGTGTTTGCATGTCTCTCTCTCTGTGTGTGTGTGTGTGTGTGTGTGCGTGTTTGCATGTCTCTCTCTCTGTGTGTGTGTGTGTGTGTGTGTGTGTTTGCATGTCTCTCTCTCTGTGTGTGTGTGTGTGTGTGTTTGCATGTCTCTGTGTGTGTGTGTGTGTTTGCATGTCTCTGTGTGTGTGTGTGTGTTTGCATGTCTCTCTGTGTGTGTGTGTGTGTGTGTGTGTGTTTGCATGTCTCTGTGTGTGTGTGTGTTTGCATGTCTCTCTGTGTGTGTGTGTGTGTGTGTGTGTTTGCATGTCTCTCTCTGTGTGTGTGTGTGTGTGTGTGTTTGCATGTCTCTCTCTCTCTGTGTGTGTGTGTGTGTGTGTGTGTTTGCATGTCTCTCTCTCTGTGTGTGTGTGTGTGTGTGTGTTTGCATGTCTCTCTCTCTGTGTGTGTGTGTGTGTGTGTGTTTGCATGTCTCTCTCTCTGTGTGTGTGTGTGTGTGTGTGTTTGCATGTCTCTCTCTCTGTGTGTGTGTCGGCTCTAACATCTGGCAGAGACAGGTGGGGGAGGGGGGTTTCAGCAGCAATAGTAGAATTCATTTTAATCTGCTCCAGTCCTGCTGGTTACATAACGGTTGGATGAACTTTGCTCTGATTGGACGGTTTTATGTATTTAATAAAAAATCATTTAAAGTGTGAAATCAAAATAAAGAGTCTCTTTCTGGTAAATATTTCTGTGCTGTTCATCAAGCAGCAGAATTCGTTGGGAACGTTTGGATCTGGACAGTGTGACTGTTGGATATTTTTGATTTATTGCAGATTAATAAATTCTTCTGGTTTATTTTTGCACAATAGATTTCAGTCATTTGATGCTGATCATATCTGTAAATGTTTTCTGGTTTGGCCTCGTCTCTTCCTCTGGGCTCTGATGAGCGGGCGGCGGTTCTGGTCCGGTCCGGGCTCGGTCTGAGCCAGCGGACCGGGTCATGTGACGTTCAGGGATTACAGATTTTAATCTGACTGTCATGAAGCCCAGACAGGAAAAACTGAGCTGAACAGAGGAGGAAGGTCTGGCGGCGGCGAAGGATTTCTGAGTCCATTTTGGTTCTGATGGAGAATCAGAAAGGCTGAAGCTGCAGGTGGTGAGTGTGTGTGTGTGTGTGTGTGTGTGTGTGTGTGTGTGTGTGTGTGTGTGTGTGTGTGTGTGTGTTTATGCTTTAGTTCCTACTTCCTGTTGTTTCAGCAAATCAATTTTTTTTTCTTTATGCATCAAAATGCGTCATATTTCTTCAGATATTTTTTCTTTTGCTTCTTCTTAACATCTAATTTTCATTCCTGATTATTTCCAGTTGTTACACTTTTATTCATGCAGCAAACCTGAACATGCACAATATCTGTCATGATGTCATCACGTGGTTCTGATGCTGCAGGACCAGCCGACCAATCAGACTCTGACTTCTCATCACCTTCATTTTAATCTATTTTCTTTATGTCTGTTTTCTGTTTGTTTCCTTTTATCATCCATGTTGTGTTTTAGTTATGATTTTAGATCTGTAGTTGATGGAATAATTACAATAAGGTCTCATCTGCTCATCATGTCATATGAAAGGTTTGCAAAGTTTTATCAAAAGAACTATTTGGGTCACATGTACCAGATTGGAAGGTTGTTTCCTACAGCTGCATCAGAACCAGAGCGGGTTGTCTCTGCCTGGCAGAGCTTTGCATCCAGACTCACTGATTCTCTTATGATCTCTTATTGAGCACAATATATGAATAAACCTGATTCTCCCTGAACAATGTTTGGAAATAGTTTTTTTCCCCGACACTCTGGAAATATTTATTAAAATCCTTAAAGCGATAGCGGCACAAACAAGAAAATTTTGCTACAAAAGATTTAAACTGAAGTTACATTTTAAACTTTTTATAATTTTCTATTTTCTGCTGGTTTTCCAGCTGGCCGTCCAAGATGGAGGCGGAAAACCTGGATGAGACGGGAAACAGAACCAACAGTTTCCAGAGGAAGAAACCGCCGTGGCTGAAGCTGGACGTCCCGACCATCCGGCTGACGCCGGACGAGCCGCCGCAGGCCAGTGCGCCACAGGTTGAGCCGCATGCTGCTGCAGTCAGACGCAGCAACGAGACGCAAGACAAAAACGAATTCCAGGTAGAAACGCAAACAAGGAACTTTACCTGGAATCCAGCTGATCCATTCTCTTATGCTGTGTGTGTGTGTGTGTGTGTGTGTGTTACAGCCTGTGAAGCGAGTACGGAGTGTGAGCATGCCCGGAGAAAATCCACACACACACTCTGCTGCCATGGAAACGTTCAACATCTACCTAAAACCTCCAGTGGAGAAAATGGCCGTCATGCAGTCCATCAAGAGGTCAGACACACACACACACACACACACACACACACTCACACACACACACACACACACACACTCACACACACACACACACACACACACACACACACACACACACACACACACACACACACACACACTCACACACACACACACACACTCACTCACACACACACACACACTCACTCACACACTCACACACACTCACACACACACACTCACACACACATCTCAGATCTCCTCCTCTTCCTCCTGCTCCTTCAAGGCTGAACTGATTATTATTTTGTCATTAATTAATCTATGGATTATTTTCTGATGATTAATCGGTGAAATATCACATTCTGCCAATTTTTCATTTTTATCAGGATAATAATAATTACTTTATTCTCCTGGCACCAAGGTGGGAGAAAAATACAATTTAAAAACAGAATCAATCACACAGCAACAGTAAAAACTTAAATTATTAATAAAACAGAGTTAAGAATAAAGGAAACTGATTATATTTACATTTCATCAGACTGCAGACTTTTTATTAGAAATACAATAAAAATGCAAATAAAAAACGTGATTCATGTTTTAAATAATATTTTTTTATTGTCTAAAAGTGAGTAACATGGTTCCCTTAGTGAAGGTTTGAGAATCAATACAGAGTGGAGCCGATCTGCTGATTATTGATTATAGATTAATAATTGATAGGAAAAGGTGATGAATAGAGATTTTTCCAGGTGATGTTAAAACTGAACGAGAAGAGTTCTGGTACATTTACATTTTTAAATTTGCAAAATGTTTTGGTTTAATTCTGGTTTCATTTTTGCTCCAATTAACAATTAATATTTCCCTAAATTATTAGAGGCTGATTTAGTTTTTCTCCTCTCTGTTGAATCTCAGTTATCAGTTTGTTCTCTCTTCCTGCTTCTTGCCTGATTTAACACTTCCTCTTCCTGTCTGCTGTCCTTCCTCTTCCTGTCTGCTGTCCTTCCTCTTCCTGTCTGCTGTCCTTCCTCTTCCTGTCTGCTGTCCTTCCTCTTCCTGCTGAGTGAAGTGAGAAGCGGGTTCGCTTCGACCGCCTGAACACCGTCCCTCCAAAGGGTCAGCGCCGCGCCAGGAGGGCGTCGACCGGCCGCCGGCGCTCCTGCGTTCCTAAAATTCTGGCCCGGCGCCGCTCGTCTATCCCCAAACAGATCATCAGGTACCGGCAGGAACTGGTTTGGGTCGGCTTGAGGCTGATATGGAGGGGGTGCGCTGCTCAGGTGGAGAAAACAGGAAGACATGCGTCGCCATAGCGATATGACCATTGTTCTTTCGTTCATTTCAACTCTGAGATCGGATGATTTTATTTCCGTCACTGTGAGACTTTATCTTATTTGATCTTACTTTTTGGATTTTTCCCGACTCGGATCCAACTGAGCATCAAATCAAAGAGAGCAAACGTTCCTGAAGCAGAACCTCAACTCTTCCTGCCGCTCCTTCTGCTTTTTCCAAAGTTCTCCAGAAACATTCCCGTCTGGAGGAGGAGCCCGCAGCACCACTCCTCCCCGTCATGTTCAGAGCTGCTGTTGTCCATGATGACGGATGAGTGTTTATGTTCTGCTCTCTAAACACTCCTCCTCTTCTTCCTCCTCCTCTTCCTCCTGCTGATGAAGCTCAGCCTGTCGGCTGAATTATTTATTTACTCTGATCTACAGCAGCGTTTCCAAACTTCTCTGTTTCCATCTGCAAACCCAAACAAGATGCAGAAAATATGTGAGAAACTTCAGAATGTTTTTCTCCCAGTTATCATCAGTTTATCAGAAACACAAATATTCATTCAGAGTGAATGAATGAATGAATTCATACCTCCTGATTCAAAAACGCTTTTCTGCAGCTGGAATATTCCTTCAGCCGTTTTCTGCTCACAAACTTTTCTATTTTGTTTCTGCTAGTTGCTATGCTAGTCGCTATGCTAGTTGCTATGCTAGTCGCTATGCTAGTTGCTATGCTAGTCGCTATGCTAGTTGCTATGCTAGTCGCTATGCTAGTTGCTATGCTAGTCGCTATGCTAGTTGCTATGCTAGTCGCTATGCTAGTTGCTATGCTAGTCGCTATGCTAGTTGCTATGCTAGTCGCTATGCTAGTTGCTATGCTAGTCGCTATGCTAGTTGCTATGCTAGTCGCTATGCTAGTTGCTATGCTAGTTGCTATGCTAGTCGCTATGCTAGTTGCTATGCTAGTCGCTATGCTAGTTGCTATGCTAGTCGCTATGCTAGTTGCTATGCTAGCTGGAGGAGAAAAGCAGCATGACGAGTTTAACGGGCAGCCTCATTCATGACGTTCAGCTCCTCTTCTTCACGGTTCTGCTTTTCTCTAAGGAGAAAGACTAAAAACATCTGATTCTGTTACTGAAATAATCCACAGCCACAGATGAAATGATGAAGTGATGAAATGATGAAGTGATGAAGTGATGAAATGATGAAGTGATGAAATGATGAAGTGGTGAAGTGATGAAATGATGAAGTGGTGAAATGATGAAATGATGAAGTGATGAAGTGGTGAAATGATGAAATGATGAAGTGGTGAAATGATTAAATGATGAAGTGATGAAATGATGAAGTGATGAAATGATGAAGTGATGAAGTGGTGAAATGATTAAATGATGAAGTGATGAAATGATGAAGTGATGAAATGATGAAGTGATGAAGTGATGAAATGATTAAATGATGAAGTGATGAAATGATGAAGTGATGAAGTGGTGAAATGATGAAATGATGAAGTGATGAAGTGGTGAAATGATGAAGTGATGAAATGATGAAGTGATGAAGTGATGAAATGATTAAATGATGAAGTGATGAAATGATGAAGTGATGAAGTGGTGAAATGATGAAATGATGAAGTGATGAAGTGGTGAAATGATGAAGTGATGAAATGATGAAGTGATGAAGTGGTGAAATGATTAAATGATGAAGTGATGAAATGATGAAGTGATGAAATGATGAAGTGATGAAGTGGTGAAATGATTAAATGATTAAATGATGAAGTGATGAAATGATGAAGTGATGAAATGATGAAGTGATGAAATGATGAAATGATGAAGTGATGAAATGATGAAGTGATGAAGTGGTGAAATGATGAAATGATGAAGTGATGAAATGATGAAGTGATGAAGTGGTGAAATGATGAAGTGATGAAATGATGAAGTGATGAAGTGGTGAAATGATGAAGTGATGAAATGATGAAGTGATGAAGTGGTGAAATGATTAAATGATGAAGTGATGAAATGATGAAGTGGTGAAATGATGAAATGATGAAGTGATGAAATGATGAAGTGGTGAAATGATGAAATGATGAAGTGATGAAATGATGAAGTGATGAAATGATGAAGTGGTGAAATGATGAAATGATGAAGTGATGAAATGATGAAGTGGTGAAATGATGAAGTGGTGAAATGATGAAGTGATGAAATGATGAAGTGGTGAAATGATGAAATGATGAAGTGATGAAATGATGAAGTGATGAAGTGGTGAAATGATGAAGTGATGAAATGATGAAATGATGAAGTGATGAAGTGATGAAATGATGAAGTGGTGAAATGATGAAATGATGAAGTGATGAAATGATGAAGTGATGAAATGATGAAGTGGTGAAATGATGAAATGATGAAGTGATGAAATGATGAAGTGGTGAAATGATGAAGTGGTGAAATGATGAAGTGATGAAATGATGAAGTGGTGAAATGATGAAATGATGAAGTGATGAAATGATGAAGTGATGAAGTGATGAAATGATGAAGTGGTGAAATGATGAAGTGGTGAAATGATGAAGTGATGAAATGATGAAGTGGTGAAATGATGAAATGATGAAGTGATGAAATGATGAAGTGATGAAGTGGTGAAATGATGAAGTGGTGAAATGATTAAATGATGAAGTGATGAAATGATGAATTGATGAAGTGATGAAATGATGAAGTGGTGAAATGATGAAGTGGTGAAATGATGAAGTGATGAAGTGGTGAAATGATGAAGTGATGAAGTGGTGAAATGATTAAATGATGAAGTGATGAAATGATTAAATGATGAAGTGGTGAAATGATGAAATGATGAAGTGGTGAAATGATTAAATGATGAAGTGATGAAATGATGAAGTGATGAAGTGATGAAATGATGAAGTGATGAAATGATGAAGTGATGAAGTGGTGAAATGATTAAATGATGAAGTGATGAAATGATTAAATGATGAAGTGGTGAAATGATGAAATGATGAAGTGGTGAAATGATTAAATGATGAAGTGATGAAATGATGAAGTGATGAAATGATGAAGTGGTGAAATGATGAAGTGGTGAAATGATGAAGTGATGAAATGATGAAGTGGTGAAATGATGAAATGATGAAGTGATGAAATGATGAAGTGATGAAGTGGTGAAATGATTAAATGATGAAGTGATGAAATGATGAATTGATGAAGTGATGAAATGATGAAGTGGTGAAATGATGAAGTGGTGAAATGATGAAGTGATGAAGTGGTGAAATGATTAAATGATGAAGTGATGAAATGATTAAATGATGAAGTGGTGAAATGATGAAATGATGAAGTGGTGAAATGATTAAATGATGAAGTGATGAAATGATGAAGTGATGAAGTGATGAAATGATGAAGTGATGAAATGATGAAGTGATGAAGTGGTGAAATGATGAAGTGATGAAGTGGTGAAATGATTAAATGATGAAGTGATGAAATGATTAAATGATGAAGTGGTGAAATGATGAAATGATGAAGTGGTGAAATGATTAAATGATGAAGTGATGAAATGATGAAGTGATGAAATGATGAAGTGATGAAGTGGTGAAATGATGAAGTGATGAAATGATGAAGTGATGAAGTGGTGAAATGATGAAGTGATGAAGTGGTGAAATGATCTAACTATAGTTTTGTTTTCACACCATTCACAAGTTTTTTCCTCATATTAAAAACATAAAACTGAAAATATTTATTTGGATTTTATGGAATCAACCAACAGAAAGATGTGAAGGAGAACAAAAGTTACCAGTTTGACTTCTTCTGCAGAACTGGTTTCCAGTCAGAGTAACTGGTTTCCTCCCACATTCATCCATCTTCAGCTCTGGGTTCGGCTCGGTTCTCTAAAGAACCTCTGAACTGGACCTTCTGAACTGGAACCTCTGAACCGGAACCTCTGAACCGGACCTTCTGAACCAGAACCTTTGAACCGGAACCTCTGAACCGGACCTTCTGAACCGGACCTTCTGAACTGGACCTTCTGGACCGGACCTTCTGAACCGGAACCTCTGAACTGGAACCTCTGAACCGGAACCTCTGAACTGGAACCTCTGAACCGGACCTTCTGAACCAGAACCTTTGAACCGGAACCTTTGAACCGGAACCTCTGAACCGGAACCTCTGAACCGGAACCTCTGAACTGGAACCTCTGAACCGGAACCTCTGAACTGGAACCTCTGAACCGGAACCTCTGAACTGGACCTTCTGAACCAGAACCTTTGAACCGGAACCTCTGAACCGGACCTTCTGAACCAGACCTTCTGAACCAGACCTTCTGAACCGGACCCAGACTACATGACGTGTTTCTCTGGAGTTTTTCATACTTTCTGGTATCAGTATCTGGTATCTAAAACGCCTGAGTGGACCTAGCTCCGCCTTTGAGCCTCAGCTCCTCCCCCACTCAGCTCCTTCAGACTAGCCAGCAGCAGCTAGCATACAGCTGGTTTTTTAAGTCATGTTTGACATATAAAACATTTTATTAAGTGCAGGTTAAACAGTTCATGGATATTTTACATTTAAAAATGTAAATCTGCCCTCTGACCCTGAGTTCTTGTGGTGCTAACAGACGTGTTTGTCGCGGTTCTGACGGCGCCTGTCCTGCAGGGGGACGGCTGATTGGTTCGGCGTGAGTAAGGACGGCGACGGCGGCCAGCGCTGGAGGAGGCGGAGCCTGCAGCACTGCAGCCATCTGTTCGGGGGCCTGAAGGCCCAGGTGACGCTGCTCAGCATGGACAGCCTGTCCCAGTCCAGCACCGAGCCCCACCCTGACCCCGACCCCGACCCGACCCTCCACCCTGCCCCCACTGCTACGGGATGCAGCGGGTAGGCTAGCTGCTAGCTGCTCAGTACCCAGGGAAGAACGTGGAGAAACTTTCCCTTTTCTTTCCCTTCGTTTCTTCATTTCTCATCACATTTTCAGTTCTGTGTAAAAACGTTAGACTAAAGAAATTTCAAGTTCAAATGACAAAACTTTCCTTTCTTTACTTTTCACTAAAGTGCAAAAAGGATTGAATTTGTCAATTAACAAATTGACAAACAATGTCAATTAACGTGATAATTGACATTGTTTTAGCGATTTTAGTCTTTTAGGTTTTAGTTTCTATGAAATGTAATTAAAAGCTAAACTGAGAAACACAAATTCTTTGTTCCTCTTCATGTTTTCCATTTTAAGAAATGTTTAATTTGTGTTTTTTTTAGGTGTCTAATCCGGCAAACAAAATGAGTGCATTCTCTAATGATAATGTAGGGCCCTAAACGGCTCCCGCGCCGCATGTTGGACACCCTGTACGGGGTTCACTGGTTCAGGACTGAAGAAAAACAAATAGTTTGATTTTAAAACATGATGTTTGTTAGCAGAAATGTTTCCACTAATGAGCTAATGGTTTTACAGACCTGATACTTGGACTAGACCGTATCTGATGAGTTTTATCTCACATAAAAGCAAAATTAAACAAAAATGAATTTTAAATATTCAAACTTTACAACTTTTAGATTCCCAAAATAATCAATGTGTGTTTTTTGTGTGTGTGTGTTTTTGTGTGTGTGTGTGTTTTTCGTGTGTGTGTGTGTGTGTGTGTGTTTTGTGTGTGTGTGTGTTTTTCGTGTGTGTGTGTGTGTGTGTTTTTATGTGTGTGTGTGTTTTTTTTGTGTGTGTTTTGTGTGTGTGTTTTTCGTGTGTGTGTGTGTTTTTTGTGTGTGTGTGTTTTTATGTGTGTGTGTTTTTTTGTGTGTGTGTTTTTTCGTGTGTGTGTTTTTTTCGTGTGTGTGTAGGTCGTGGACCCCCGCGCTCGCGGTCGGGCGTTCCGGATGGGGGATGAGCCGGACGGACCTGGCGCCCCTCAGACGCCGCTCACCCCAGGCTCCGCCTCCTTCTGCTCCTTCTCCAGCTCCGCCCTCAACAGGTTGCCACGGCGACGCAAGCGGGAGTCTGTGGCCGCCATGAGCATCATGGCCGCCGCGGCGCTGATGAAGGTTTACATTTACAGAGTGAAAAATATTCCGTGGTTTTAATGTTTCTAATGAAATGTTTTTCACTAAAAAACTGCTTTACATTTTAATCTAATCTAATGAAATCTGGTAAAGTCTGAAGTCGTTTGTTTTCTTTTTGGGGTGTCAGAGTAAAGAGGCCGCCTTACAGAAACACACCACACTTTTCAGATCTGTGCTTGCAGGTTTTTTGTATTTTCACAGCTTCATGTTCAGAGAAACCATAAACAATCTGAAGGTTGTGGGTTTGATTCCTACTGCCAATCAAAATCAGTATCGCCGACCCAAACCTCCGTGGGTCCGGTCGGGTCGGTGACTTCAGTACCCGCCAACATAGAGGGTCCAGCTCTCAGCGCAGCGTTTATTGTTAGCTCGTTAAGGTAACGCTCATTAAGGTAACGATCGTTAAGGTAACGATCGTTAAGGTAACGATCGTTAAGGTAACGCTCGTTAAGGTAATGATCACCTGTTGAGCTAAATGGCTCAAAGTGTCCAGGTCCAGATTACCTAATCTCCTCTAATCCGCTCCTATCCAGATTCGCCTCCATTTTTATTCTCATCACAGCCGATAATCAGTCAGAGTCAATATGATGAAGATGTGAAAGTTAAAGCGCAGAACGGACCTGATGACGTCATCAACCCGTTGGTGAAGACATGGCGACCGCCATGCGTGGGAAATATATCAAAAGATGAACTTTTTTGAAGTAATTATGACGAATCACAAACAGCAATTTTAGGTAATAGGAAAATTGCAACATATTTAGGCCAACATGGATCCTTTTGAAAATGTTAATATTTAATAATATTAATAAATACAGCTGCAGTTTTAGAGTTTGAAGTTTATTAAAACTTTAGTCCTTCCTCGTCCAGATGCTGGAAACAAACCCGAGCCATAATACTGCCACCACCGTGTTTTCTGACGGTAGCACCGTTCATGGAACAGTTTTTATTTTAACCTTATTTTTCAACATTTGTTCCAACAACTATCTAATGTTGATGAAAAAAATATTTAAATCTAATTTTTCCATCAAATTAGATGATAATACATGAAAGTTTTTTCAAACACAAACTGTTTGTTTTTTAAACTCTGCTGCCGTCCGACTCAGATCCTGTTCCTGCTCCGGTCCTGGTTCTGACCTGGTCTAGACCTGGTCCGGTCCCGGTTCTGACCTGGTCCGGTCCTGGTTCTGACCCGGTCCGGTCCTGGTCCGGTCCTGGTTCTGACCTGGTTCTGACCTGGTCCGGTCCTGGTTCTGACCCGGTCCGGTCCTGGTTCTGACCTGGTCTAGACCTGGTCCGGTCCCGGTTCTGACCTGGTCCGGTCCCGGTTCTGACCTGGTCCGGTCCTGGTTCTGACCTGGTCTAGTCCTGGTCCGGTCCCGGTTCTGACCTGGTCCAGTCCCGGTTATGACCTGGTCCGGTCCTGGTTCTGACCCGGTCCGGTCCCGTCCCGGTCCGGTCCTGGTTCTGACCCGGTCCGGTCCCGGTCCGGTCCTGGTTCTGACCCGGTCCGGTCCCGGTCCGGTCCTGGTTCTGACCCGGTCCGGTCCCGGTCCGGTCCCGGTTCTGACCTGGTCCAGTCCCGGTTCTGACCTGGTCCGGTCCTGGTTCTGACCTGGTCTAGTCCCGGTCCGGTCCTGGTCCGGTCCTGGTTCTGACCTGGTCTAGTCCCGGTCCGGTCCCGGTCCGGTCCTGGTCCGGTCCTGGTTCTGACCTGGTCCGGTCCTGGTTCTGACCTGGTCCGGTCCCGGTTCTGACCTGGTCCGGTCCTGGTTCTGACCTGGTTCTGACCTGGTCCGGTCCTGGTTCTGACCTGGTTCTGACCTGGTCCGGTCCTGGTTCTGACCTGGTCCGGTCCCGGTCCGGTCCTGGTTCTGACCTGGTTCTGACCTGGTCCGGTCCTGGTTCTGACCCGGTCCGGTCCCGGTTCTGACCTGGTCCGGTCCTGGTTCTGACCTGGTCCGGTCCCGGTTCTGACCTGGTCCGGTCCCGGTTCTGACCTGGTCCGGTCCTGGTTCTGACCTGGTCTAGTCCTGGTCCGGTCCCGGTTCTGACCTGGTCCGGTCCTGGTTCTGACCTGGTCTAGTCCCGGTCCGGTCCTGGTTCTGACCTGGTCCGGTCCTGGTTCTGACCTGGTTCTGACCTGGTCCGGTCCTGGTTCTGACCCGGTCCGGTCCCGGTTCTGACCTGGTCCAGTCCCGGTTCTGACCTGGTCCGGTCCCGGTTCTGACCTGGTCCGGTCCTGGTTCTGACCTGGTCCGGTCCTGGTTCTGACCTGGTCCTGGTCCGGTCCTGGTTCTGACCTGGTCCGGTCCCGATTCTGACCTGGTCCAGTCCCGGTTCTGACCTGGTCCGGTCCTGGTTCTGACCTGGTCTAGTCCCGGTCCGGTCCTGGTCCGGTCCTGGTTCTGACCTGGTCTAGTCCTGGTCCGGTCCCGGTTCTGACCTGGTCCGGTCCTGGTTCTGACCTGGTTCTGACCTGGTCCGGTCCTGGTTCTGACCTGGTTCTGACCTGGTCCGGTCCTGGTTCTGACCTGGTTCTGACCTGGTCCGGTCCTGGTTCTGACCTGGTCTAGTCCCGGTCCGGTCCTGGTCCGGTCCTGGTTCTGACCTGGTCTAGTCCTGGTCCGGTCCTGGTTCTGACCTGGTCCGGTCCTGGTTCTGACCTGGTCCGGTCCCGGTTCTGACCTGGTCCGGTCCTGGTTCTGACCTGGTTCTGACCTGGTCCGGTCCTGGTTCTGACCTGGTTCTGACCTGGTCCGGTCCTGGTTCTGACCTGGTCTAGTCCCGGTCCGGTCCTGGTCCGGTCCTGGTTCTGACCTGGTCTAGTCCTGGTCCGGTCCTGGTTCTGACCTGGTCCGGTCCTGGTTCTGACCTGGTCCGGTCCCGGTTCTGACCTGGTCCGGTCCTGGTTCTGACCTGGTCCAGTACCGGTCCTGGTTCTGACCTGGTCTAGTCCCGGTCCGGTCCCGGTCCGGTCCTGGTCCGGTCCTGGTTCTGACCTGGTCCGGTCCTGGTTCTGACCTGGTCCGGTCCCGGTTCTGACCTGGTTCTGACCTGGTCCGGTCCTGGTTCTGACCTGGTCTAGACCTGGTCCGGTCCCGGTTCTGACCTGGTCTAGTCCTGGTCCGGTCCTGGTTCTGACCTGGTCCGGTCCCGGTTCTGACCTGGTCCGGTCCCGGTTCTGACCTGGTCTAGTCCTGGTCCGGTCCCGGTTCTGACCTGGTCCGGTCCTGGTTCTGACCCGGTCCGGTCCCGGTTCTGACCTGGTCCAGTCCCGGTTCTGACCTGGTCCGGTCCCGGTTCTGACCTGGTCCAGTCCCGGTTCTGACCTGGTCTAGTCCTGGTCCGGTCCCGGTTCTGACCTGGTCCGGTCCTGGTTCTGACCTGGTCCAGTCCCGGTCCGGTCCCGGTCCGGTCCTGGTTCTGACCTGGTCCGGTCCCGGTTCTGACCTGGTCCGGTCCTGGTTCTGACCTGGTCCGGTCCCGGTTCTGACCTGGTCCAGTCCTGGTCCGGTCCTGGTTCTGACCTGGTCCGGTCCTGGTTCTGACCTGGTTCTGACCCGGTCCGGTCCCGGTCCGGTCCTGGTTCTGACCCGGTCCGGTCCCGGTCCGGTCCTGGTTCTGACCCGGTCCGGTCCCGGTTCTGACCTGGTCCAGTCCCGGTTCTGACCTGGTCCGGTCCCGGTTCTGACCTGGTCCAGTCCCGGTTCTGACCTGGTCCGGTCCTGGTTCTGACCTGGTCTAGTCCTGGTCCGGTCCCGGTTCTGACCTGGTCCGGTCCTGGTTCTGACCTGGTCCAGTCCCGGTCCGGTCCCGGTCCGGTCCTGGTTCTGACCTGGTCCGGTCCCGGTTCTGACCTGGTCCGGTCCTGGTTCTGACCTGGTCCGGTCCTGGTTCTGACCTGGTTCTGACCTGGTCCGGTCCTGGTTCTGACCTGGTCCAGTCCCGGTCCGGTCCTGGTTCTGACCCGGTCCGGTCCCGGTCCGGTCCCGGTTCTGACCTGGTCCGGTCCTGGTTCTGACCTGGTCCGGTCCTGGTTCTGACCTGGTTCTGACCTGGTCCGGTCCTGGTTCTGACCTGGTCCAGTCCCGGTCCGGTCCTGGTTCTGACCCGGTCCGGTCCCGGTCCGGTCCTGGTTCTGACCCGGTCCGGTCCCGGTCCGGTCCTGGCGTCCTGACTGGGTTCTGTTGTGGATTTCAGGGTCGGAAGGCGGCTGACGGCGGCGCCAGGAAGCGGAGGCGGAGCTTCATGCCTCCCAGTTTCTATGACGATGACACGACGGACTTCCTGGACGCTTCGTTCTTCGGCAGAGTGAGAAAACATCCGATTCTTTAAAGATGTGGATCATAATAATAATAATAATAAAATTTGATTTTCAAAGCTGATGTAAAAACTTTGTTTTATCTCAGTTGTTGGATTTTCATTTGGAGACTCTGAGATAAATTGATTATTAATTAATACATTTTTTTGGTTTTTGAAGATTTATCTTTGAAAAATCTGGATTTTATCCCACCAATCCGCTCTCTGGGCCTCTGTAGTGATGTCATCGCTCAGGGCAGCCATCTCTGTAGTGATGTCATCGCTCAGGGCGGCCATCTCTGTAGTGATGTCATCGCTCAGGGCGGCCATCTCTGTAGTGATGTCATCGCTCAGGGCGGCCATCTTGTTTGCGAAGCGTTCTGTTAACCTGGACTTTGAGTTCAGGTCAGTGAGTTCTGTGGTCAGGATCAGAATGATTCATTTTACAAGAATAAAATTGAAATATTAGGAGAATACATTTGTAACTTTACACAAAAATGAATCAATGAAGTGATGAATGTTGAGCTTTCTGTAATATTTCCGTTTTTCAGGTAAATAAATATTTCATGTTTTAACACGTCAGCACTAAAATGAATGTAAAACTGATTTTTCAAATAACTGAGTTTGTTTAGAAGAAAATGCAGACGGACTGAACTGATCGCATCGACCCTGATAACTAATAAAAACGTATTTTTCTTTGAAACAATGTTTACGACGTTCTTCTGGTAAAATTGCATCTTTATTCTGCTAAAATTATAACTTTATTTTTGTAATTTCACAAAAACTCCCGTAGCTTTTCCCTGAAGCTCCGTCTTCTGAGGATTGAGATAAAATCCACTTTTTGAAAATTATAATTCATTTTTTAGGGAAGAAAGTGAAGAAAAAATCAATGAAATCTGATTTCTTATGAAATAAATCAGAAATGTTTTTCATTTTGTCCCCTGCAGGACAGTTTCCAGGAAGAGACGTCCAGCTTCGCCGACGACGTGTTTGAGACGCCGTCAGAGAGCGACCCGCAGCGGCCGGATCCCGAGAGAGGAAACGCTCTGACAGGAAGTGCTCTGGACCGGACCAAGCTGGAGCGGACTCACCTGATGCTGTGGGCGGAGTTTTGAACCACAGGTAAAGCGAAGTGTTTCCATGACTACTGCCTCCTGCGTCTCCGCAGGCCGCTGGAGCGAGGACGGCGGAAGGCGAAGGACGGCGCGCTGCCGCAGCGGGAGGCGGCGAGCGGGCCGCGGCGGCGCGGGCGCAGGATCGCGGCGCCGGTCCAGAAGCTGTTCGCACGGGACAAGAGGAAGTACGGACTGGGGATAGTGGGCCGGCTCACCAACCGGACCTACCGCCAGCGCCTGGACAGCTTCGTCCAGAAACAGATCCAAGACATGGACGACCACAGGCACGACCTCTGCTCGACCTCTGCTCCGGGTTCAAAGGTCAGCCGTGACTCGTCATGTTTTCTTCTTCAGGCCTTTCTTCAGCTACTGGATCACCTTCGTCCACCTGCTGGTCACCGTCCTGTCCGTGTCCATCTACGGCATCGCGCCGATCGGATTCACGCAGCACGAGACCGTCGACTCTGTGAGCCGGATTATAATCTGTAATCTGTTCCGTCGCCGTTCTCTTCTCACTGTTTCTCCCTCCATTCCCTCCAGGTGCTGAGAAATAAGGGAGTTTATGAAAACGTGAAGTTTGTGCAGCAGCAGAACTTCTGGGTCGGTCCGAGCTCGGTAAGAACCAAACCACTGGATGGCTTTCAGAAACTAACATAAAAATATTTTGATAAACATTTCAAGCAATAATTATATTAACAGGAAAGAAGATAAAAAATGTTAAAGTTGCTGAACAAATAGTAGAACTGAAAAAATGTGAAGTTCTTAAAGTTTGGAAAATTCAAGTAAGATTTTTTA